TTTGAAATATGTATATATTGTGGAATGGCTGAATTGAGCTAATTAACATATGCATTACCTCACATACTTATTTGTGGTGAGAACACCTAATCTCTCAGTAATTTTTTCTTTTTTCTTTTCTTTTTTTTTTTTTTTTTTCGAGACGGAGTCTGGCTCATTTGCCCAAGCTGAAATGCAGTGGTGCGATCTCAGCTCACTGCAACCTCCACCTTCCAGGTTCAAGCAATTCTCCTGTCTCAACCTCCCAAGTAGCTGGGAGTACAGGCGTGTGTCACCACATCCGGCTAATTTTTGTATTTTTAGTAGAGACGGAGTTTCACCATGTTGGCCATGCTGGTCTTGAACTCCTGACTTAGGTGATCTGCCTGCCTCGGCCTTTCAAAGTGGCAGGATTACAGGCATGAGCCATAGCAAAAGGCCTACTCTCAGTAATCTTCAAGTATATAATACACTTTTATGAACTCTAGTCACCATGATGAACAACAGATCTCTTGAACTTATTCCTCCCAACTGGAATTTTGTCTTTTGACTGCCTTTACCTCAAACCTCTTTTTCCTTCTTCCTCTCTCCCATTGTCTTTCATCCTTTCTTTCTTTTTGCCCTCCCTCCTCCTTCCTCTCTCCTTCCCCCTCCCTCCTCCCCCCCCACCCCCGCCAGTTCCTTCCTTCCTCCTTTTTTTCCTCCCTTCCCTTCCCTCTCTCCCTCCTTTCTGAGGAGCCACTTTATCTTCTCTTCCCTGTTAGGTGATCAAGTCTGCCAGCATGGGTCCCAGTGTGGTCCGGTTCGCCTCTCAAGCTGGGAGTCATAGCTGGCACATGGTCGCTGGCACACTGAGGGTATCACAGAAGTGTCTAACAGCCGGAAGGTGGCAAGGCAGTGTACTTGTCAAACATGGGCTGTGGCCCTGGAAAGGAAGAGTCATGCAGCAGCCCGCCCACCACCCCCGGCATCCTCTGGCTCACCCCTAAACAGGCATTGAACCCTACTCATGCTAGGCCCTGTGCTGGCTCCAGAGCATCCCCCAGGCAGGTTATGGGAGCCCAGGTGTGCTGGGGGCTATTCTCTGGCCCAGAACTGGGGGAAGAGGTTCCCCTGTGGTAGGTGCCATGGCTGTGGCAGGTGACCAGTCCTCCCTTGTTACCCCTCCCTCTCCTCTCTTCTTGCACTAATGGGTTGGGGGGGGGTGTTGGCATGAGGGGGAGGGCCTAGAGGAGGGGGCACAGTCCTGTTCAAGCTCTGCCAGGCAGCCAGAGACCCCCTGGGGCACCCGTTGTAAGCAGTAGACAAAAAGCCTGGGACAAAAGGCCTGTGGGAGCCTTGGTGAATAGATTAATGAGATTTCCATAAGGGAGGCCGACAATGGGATTCTCCCTTCCAGCCTCTTTGTTCCAGGCTGAGATAATGGAGCTCAGAGGAGGCTTGCCCCTTCTCCACACGGGCCTGGAGCCGGCTCACAGCTGCCCCTTCTTGCCTACCCTGCCCCCAGCCCAGATTGGTCCAATCCCTTCCCTCCCACATGAGTGACGGAATCCAGAAGCAGAGAATTTCTGGAAGATCTGGAAGGGACCTTAGGGGTCTCCTTCAGGGGTTGGAAGTGGGTGTTATGCTGTGTGGTTGGGGTTTCTTCCTTCCTCACCCTGTACAAATTTATTTCAGTGTTTCTAATGAGAAAGGAAGGTTGGAAATCTACCAATCTAAACCAACAGTCTTAATGGGCAGATGAAGGAAGTGGAGCTTAGTGAGGTTAAGTGTCCTGGCCATGTTCACAGAGTGACAGCTCAGGGCATTTGCTGCCGCAGGAAGCCATGGTGGGCTGGGGGGATACCTATGGCCTGCATTGGGCCCTGTGCATGGAGAACCTGTGCTCCACAGGGATGGGAGAGGCACCTGCAGGACCCGTGGGCAGCAGGACCACGGGGGAAATCATGCTTGAGTGTTCTGACCAGCTGTGAAGGCTGAATCATCCCCCATGGATCTTGGAAGACTTCCTAAAAAGGAGGGGAGGGGTTTTAGCAATGACTTTACTTTTCCATCCAATAGTTCTTTCTGTAACTATTTATTGATTGCCTGTGAGTTTGAAGGGCTGTGTCCTGTGGGTAGAGTCAAGTGGGGTTCCAGCTTGTCATGTGTACAGCAGCGCTTCACCCCAAGGTCTGTAGAGAAAGAGCTGCTTCAGGAACAGGACCTTGCTCCCCAAATTGGGCAGTTGCAGAGAGAGGGCGTTTTCTCCATAGAGTCCCAGGTACCATCTGGGAAAGCCACAAAACCCAAAATAAGGAACTGTGTGCCCAGCTAGGATGTGTCTGGTTATATGATAACAGCCCTTCACAGGGAAAGAGACAGCTCTATGGGCATGTTTTACCGGGCGAGGACACACATTCTCCTGCCTGGTCTGAAGGGTAAATACATAGCACCTGGGGCACAGCCACTGTTTCCACAGGCCCAGGAAGTGTGTTGGGGAGAGTAGGTGTGCAGTGTGGAATGGCCTCAGGCTTCTCTCTGACTGTAAAAACAAAGGCCTGGGCCACAGAGCCCCTGCAGGCAAGTGGTTCCGGGCCTGGACTTTGAGTCCTGTCTCCACTCTGTCACAATCATGTGACCCTGAAGATTTGTTCATCTCTGTGCCTCAGTCCCCTCATCTGTAGAATGGGGATGACAGTAACAGTACTGATCTCAGAGCTGTCCCAAGGGCTGCATTAGACATGTAAAACAGAACAGGCGCTGGTTCTGTCCCCAGTGCTTGAGTTTTGGGGAAATGTTGTAAGCACCAGCCCATCACATTAGAACTGGAAGGAACCTCTTTTCACAGAACATTCACCAAGTTTCCCCAACCCTAAGGGGAGATAACTTGTTTAGCATCACTCAGCAAGGTTGGGGCACTGCTTGGGTTAATTTGTAATTTGTGCCCCACACCTGTGTCCATTACATACATGATCTTTAAATCCTCACAGCCACTCAGCATGACGAATGTTATGCCCTTTAACAAATGGAAAAATTGGCTGGGCACAGTGGCTCATGCCTGTAATCCAAGCACTTTGGGAGGCTGAGACAGCTGGATCACCTGAAGCCAGGAGTTCAAGACTAGCCTGGCTAACATGGTGAAACCCTGTCTCTACTAAAAAAAATAATAATAATAATAAAAGTACAAATGGAGAAATTGAGGTTCAGCAAGAACGAGGTCAGGCAACCTGCCCAGGGTTACAGAGTGTGTGTCTGGGCCTGGATTCAAATTAGGTCTCGAGGATTCAAAGCCTACACTTTCCCCATGTCCTTGGGGCCTTTCCTCACCTCCAGCATCACTGATCGCTGGAGGGTGACTTGTGAACCTGGACAGGAAGCAGGGGGTCCCCATCCTGGGGAGATCATTCCTGAGACCCCTGTGGGAGGCAAAGTGGCAGCAGGCCCAAGGTCTCTGTGTGAAAGCAAGAGGGCTGTAACTGGCCTGGGGGTGGGGGAGGGGAGACAGCATTTTTCACCTATGGTGGGCAAGGGGAGGAGGGCCTGGCAGGCCTGGGCCTCTCAAGACGCACCCAAGTGAGATCACACTTTAAATGTGTGCGTGCCAGGCACATGCATGAACATAGGCACCTGTACCTGCAGCTGTGCACACCTATGCACATCCCTGGTGTGCACGTGCATATTGGGTGTGTACTCAGACTCACGTGAGACAGTATTCTGAGCCTGTGTGCAGATAAGGCAACCTCGCCCACTCTTCTCAAACTTCTGCGCTCTTCCTGCCCTTAGGTTGAGGCTGGTCCTTGGGTGGCTAAGTTCTTTCTCTTGGAAGGCATTAAGAGGAATATGTAGCGCTATGGAACTTAGTTTAGCAGAAGACCCCTGGTGTCCTGCTTCCCGGTTAGACTATTGAAAGGCTCTCTAGCAGATGCCATGTCCCTGCATCTAGACAATGATACCTTAAAGAAGGATGAAGAAGGAAAAAGGAATGAGCTGGTAGCTAGTGGGGAACCCAGGGTCAAAAGAGGTCATTTTGAAGATGGGACTGAATTAAACTAATTGTGGGGAGGGACCCAGTACCTAGATGGGGCCAAGGGCTGGGGTGGATGGACCCTGAGGCTTTCTGGGTACAAGATGGATATAGATGTAAAAGTAAAAAGAGTGCCAGAGGTAAGGGAGATTTACCCAATGACTTCATTTTTTGCCCTGGCTAAAATGGGAGGAAATTTACCTGGAGTGGAAGGGCCAGTATCTAAAGATTGAGGATCGAGATCAGGTGGTCTAGATGGAGTGTCATAGACAAGGACCCCTCTCTGGAAAGGCTAGAGAGAGGGGCTGAGCCATGGAGTACAGGAGATATTGCAGGTATGAAGCTGGGGTGGAGGACTGGAGGTGGCTTACTGGAGTCCATAGTTTCCGAGGTAGAGCAGTTCTCAGTGTTGGCCAGGGCCAGAGGATTTTCATTAGCGGGTGGAGGTTTGATTGAGGATTACTGAAGGACAGACCAGGGGCTGGTGAGAGGGAGCCTGGCCCAAAAGTCTGGGGGATGAGGGAGGGATGACATCACTGACAGCATTAGGAGCACGGGGGCTGGCAGGGGGAAGGAGATGTTGTTGGACAAGTCCAGGTCTGAGCCTTCTTCACTTACTGTGTTTGTGCCCTTTCCCCAGCTTGTCCAGTGTAATATGCTCAGGGTAAATGCTATCATCAAGGTCAAATATCTTTTTTCCATATTAAGTAAGGAAACAAAGCACAGAAAATAGTGAATAGAAAAAAAAAAAACCAGATTTGTGGTCTGGGTAGTAACACAATACTTGCATTTGTGTAACTTTTTTTGTTTTGAGACGGAGTCTCGCTCTCATTGCTCAGGCTGGGGTGCAGTGGTGCCATCTCAGCTTACTGCAACCTCCACCTCCCAGGTTCAGGTGATTCTTGCCTCAGCCTCCCGAGTAGCTGGGATTACAAGTGCCCACCACTATGCCCAGCTAATTTTTGTATTTTTAGTAGAGACAGGGTTTTGCCATGTTGGCCAGGTTGGTCTTGAATTTCTCACTCAGGTGATCTGCCAGCCCTGGCCTCCCAAAGTGCTGGGAATTACAGATGTGAGCCACCAGGCCAATAACTTTGATGTTACCTCTTAAGACTCTGCAGCCAGAACCACTTATGATTTTTGATGTTTCAGGAAATTACCCTCTTTCACAGCAGGTAATGTCTCTCATCTTTGGAGATCCTTCTCAGCAAGAGCTGGAGGGCTGCACATCTATCCCCAAGGACATCACACTCAGCTGTTAGTCTCTGTTCTCCCTCTTGCCTGGTGGCCAGCATCACCTCTTGCATGGGGGCGGGACAACCTCAAGAACTCAGTCCCTTCCTTTTTAAGCTTTACATCTATGGCTCATGCCTTCCCAGGGGAGTGGGGATGAGAGTAAATTACTTTCAAAGACTGTCTTCTGCCATTGATATCAGGTCACAGCCACATGAAGTAGAGAGCATCAACAGGAGTGGGGTGCTGTCAACAAGCTGCTGCTAGGAAGGCCAGCTGTGGAGAACTGGGCAGAGACCCGGTTACCTTCAGCCTCTTCTATAAACACCCACTGTCAAAGCTCTGGTGACCCAATATTTCTTGATGTTCTCTACGGACTCGAAGCGTATGGTTACGTCGGTTGTGCACAACAGCTCTACCAACAGGGCACAATTCACAATTTCAGGGCAGCAAACACTAGATTTACGGCAGTTTTCCAGAAGGTGGCAGTAAAGTGCCTTGAGGAAGGGAACATGGCACGTGAGCTAGCACAGCCCTGGCTTTCTGAAGGCACTGTGCCCTGCACCTTTGAAGGTGCTGTTCTTGTGATCTGGGATGCCCTACTCACTTTGTCTGGTCGACCTGATCCCTCACCTTTCATGGTCCAGCAAAGGCACCACCTCCTTGGGATGTTCCCTGAGCCCCAGTGCCCTTGGTATATACCTCCATTTTGTCACTTCACAGAGGCCATTGTCTGTCTCCTCTACCTGGCTGAACCATCCTATTCACCTTTCAATCTTTCCCCATGCCTAGCAAAACACTTGGGATTTGCTCCCTAAAAATCTGTTGAAGAAAGAATACTGAACCTATGAGAATATGTGAACCTGTTAAGAAACTTACCAAAACCTGAGCTTTGAGAAACCATCATCAGCATCAGCTGTCTCTGGGTGTGCCGCGGGCCTCTTAGCCTTTGAGATATTTCATCAGGCTGGCCCACAGGAACTACATGCCTAGGTAGAGCCATTGCCCAAGCCCCGGATCCCCTTTACCAGATTGTTTGGCTCATACTGGGTGGTGCTAAGGGACAGTATCAGGAACAGCCACGGAATATCTCTGCTGTGTTCACGCATGGAGGGCAAGAAGGGGGTTAATACATCTCACAGGTCTGCTTCCTGAGGACCACGAAAAAAAGTTCTATGATCTTTAAGACAGGAACACTTTTGCTTTTTTTAAGTATGGTGTTTTTTGACTACCTATCTCTCCCTCTTTATTGGCTACTGAGAAGCTTAGACACAAATTTGTGGTCCATATCCTATGATGTGCATTGTTGTGTATTAACTTTCCCCCGTCTTCTCCAGCATATGACCCATCTGTTCTACATATTTTTGTATTGTGGTGAGCCCTATTGGGAATGAAGCAGGTGGTAACACCTGCCACAGGCACACAGCTATTACACGCAGCTGGGTCTGGAATCCAGGTGCTCTGACTTCGTCAGGCAGATGCTAAAACCAAGTGGGAAGGAAATGCATGCTCCTGGTCAGCCACTGAGGTTTACCATGGATAAGGTAGTGCTACACACCAGAATCTTTGATCTCAGGCCAGAGGGGGCCTTGGAATCCAGGAAAGGCTGGGGTGAACAGAGCATTTAGGAATAACAAACTTCTGGGTCACTAGGCCAGGGATTCCAGGCAGGCCTCATACATCTCTTTACATAACCCTGGTGCCTCTGTAGTGGCCAGCACACAGTGGGTGGGTGACAAACATCTGCTGCTGAGCTTCACTTGAGTCTGACTATTCCCAGGGCTGGGGTGTCCCACCCATTGTCCAATCCTTCACTAGAAAGTAAGGTCTGAAAGTAAGGATCACGTGTCCTACAGAGGACATGACTGGAGCGGACAGGACAAAAATAATAACCATTGCCTACAAGGTGAAGTTAGGGCCAACCACATCGTTTCCAGACCCAATTGGGCGCTGAGAAAATAGTCTCAACTTTAATCATAGGACACAACGGGTATTTGGTCCCTGGAGGGAGGGCCCCAGGAGAGTGTAGCGTTAGGTAGTGGATGCCGGAAGCCCAGTCTGTCACAAGCCACCGTCTAGGCGGATTGGCCTAGCAGTGGCCCGCTGGGTCCTCAGGAGCTCGACATCACCAGCCCTCTCGTCTCTTGCCCGCAGCTCTGTTGAAGATGCACTGGACACCGGAACACGCCCAGCCCCTCAACCAGTGGCCAGAGCAACACCTGGACGTCTCCTCCACCACCCCGTCGCCCGCCCACAAATTGGAGTTGCCCCCTGGCGGTCGCCAACGCTGCCACTACGCTTGGGCACACGACGACATATCCGCCCTCACTGCCTCCAACCTCCTAAAGCGCTACGCAGAGAAGTACTCGGGGGTCCTGGACTCTCCCTACGAGCGTCCCGCCCTGGGCGGCTACAGCGACGCCGCCTTCCTCAACGGCGCCAAAGGGGAACCCGAGCCCTGGTCAGGGCCGGAGCCACCCTACCCCTTGGCCTCACTCCACGAGGGCCTCCCAGGAACCAAGTCGGGAGGTGGGGGCGGTTCCGGGGCCCTGGGGAGCTCCCCAGTTTTAGCCGGGAACCTCCCTGAACCCCTCTACGCCGGCAATGCGTGCGGGGGCCCGTCGGCGGCGCCCGAGTACGCGCCGGGCTACGGCGGGGGGTACCTGGCGCCGGGCTACTGCGCCCAGACCGGCGCCGCGCTGCCCGCGCCGCCGCCTGCCGCGCTCCTGCAGCCCCCGCCGCCGCCCGGGTACGGGCCCTCAGCGCCGCTGTACAACTACCCCGCTGGGGGCTATGCGGTGCAGCCCGGCTACGGCGCGCTCCCGCCGCCCCCGGGGCCGCCCCCGGCCCCCTACCTGACCCCAGGCCTGCCCGCGCCCACGCCCCTGCCCGCACCCGCGCCGCCCGCCGCCTATGGCTTCCCCACGGCCGCGTCGGGCGCCGAGGCCGGACTGTCGCTGAAGCGCAAGGCCGCGGACGAGGGCTCCGAGGGCCGCTACCGCAAGTACGTGTACGAGCCAGCCAAGGCCCCGGCGGCCGACGGCGCCTCCTACTCAGCCGCCGACAACGGCGAGTGTCGGGGCAACGGGTTCCGGGCCAAGCCGCCGGGAGCCGCGGAGGAGGCGTCGGGCAAGTACGGTGGCGGCGTCCCCCTCAAGGTCCTGGGCTCCGCCGTGTACGGCCCGCAACTCGAATCCTTTGAAAAGTTCCCGGAGCGGGCCCCGGCTCCCCGTGGGGGCTTTGCCGTGCCGTCGGGGGAGCCTCCCAAAGGCGTGGACCCTGGGGCCCTGGAGCTGGTGACGAGCAAGATGGTGGACTGCGGGCCCCCAGTGCAGTGGGCGGATGTGGCGGGCCAGAGCGCGCTCAAGGCGGCGCTGGAGGAGGAGCTGGTGTGGCCCCTGCTCAGGCCGCCCGCCTACCCGGGCAGCCTGCGCCCGCCGCGGACGGTCCTGCTCTTTGGGCCGCGGGGCGCGGGCAAAGCGCTGCTGGGCCGCTGCCTCGCCACGCAACTGGGCGCCACGCTGCTGCGCCTGCGCGGTGCGACCCTGGCTGCGCCCGGCTCCGCCGAGGGCGCGCGCCTCCTCCAGGCCGCCTTTGCGGCCGCACGCTGCCGCCCGCCCTCAGTGCTCCTTATCAGCGAGCTAGACGCGCTGCTCCCCTCCCGGGACGACGGCGCGGCGGCAGGGGGCGCGCTGCAGGTGCCGCTCCTGGCCTGCCTGGATGGCGGCTGCGGCGCGGGGGCTGAAGGCGTGTTGGTCGTAGGCACCACCTGGCGGCCCGCGGCTCTGGACGAGGCGACCCGCCGGCGCTTCGCTCTCCGCTTCTACGTGGCGCTGCCCGACAGCCCTGCCCGCGGGCAGATCCTGCAGCGGGCGCTGGCCCAGCAGGGCTGCGCGCTCAGTGAGCGGGAGCTGGCAGCGCTGGTGCAGGGCACGCAGGGCTTCTCTGGTGGCGAGCTGGAGCAGCTGTGCCAGCAGGCCGCGGCCGGGGCGGGCGTCCCGGGGCTGCAGCGCCCCCTCTCCTACAAGGACCTGGAGGCGGCGCTGTCCAAGGTGGGCCCTAGGACCTCCGCCAAGGAACTGGACACGTTCGTGGAATGGGACAAAATGTATGGCTCCGGACACTGACGGCGCGCGGGAAGGCCGCGGGAGCCGCTGCTCCTCCGTCCCCGCCGCCTCGGCGTGGGAGGGTTGTCACTGACTAAACCTGGCTGGCAGGGGCCGGAATGGTGAATGTGGGGTGGGGGACAGGAGGGCTCTGCCGGCGGATTTTTTTTTTTTTTTTTTTTTTTTTTTTTGTGGGAAGGAAATGCTTCTGCCAGGCAGATAGATGCCATATGCGCCGTGTACTCAGGTTTTTCCTATTTATTGTGGACTGGAAGCTCGCCATCTCCGCCCGCAGACCGGGCAGATCCGGCATGGGCTGGTACCCGGGGCCTTAGGAACTCCTGCTCTCTTGCCACAACGCTTTTGTCTCCTCGCTATCTGAATGGCACCCTCCTTCTCCCTCATTCTCTCCACCCCTTTCTCTGCATTCTCTTGGTTTTCTCTCCTTTGCTTTGTCACTTACACCCCTGCCCCCCATGCTGGCCCTGTTTCTCTCCTGCCCCTCCCTCCCTCTCTCCCTCCCTCCCCAGCTCTCCGTCCCTCACCTTCTGTACTTCATTCTCCATCCCTGGCTCTCCAGCATCCCCGGGCCTCTTGGTCCCTGAGCTTTAATGCCTCTTTCTGCCTTCTGTTCTCATTTGGACTCCAGTGGCCCTTTGCAGGAGCTCTGGAGGCCCAGGGGCTGAGGAGGAGGGGAGGAGGGTTACCTCTTACCCATCTGAAACCTAGGGTCTAGGGATCAAGGAAAAAATTCCCCAAAGAAGGGAAGTTTTTTGTTTTTGAGGAGAGATCCCAGAAATGTAGCTTGTTTCATATTTTAGGCTTTTTATTTTTGTAAGATGTGTAGAATTTGCTGTTTTTATTTTGACAACTCAGGAAGAAACTGACCTCAGAAAGAATGTTAGACTTTGGCTGCTCTCCTGTGTGCCCCCTACTCCTGCCCTCGCCCCCCCCACTCCATTCAGGGGAGCAAATTCTCCCAGACACTCAAAAAAATGGGACTTATGGGGAAGGGGAGAGGAAGACCAGAGGCCTCAGTGAAACCCTAGCTATTCCTGGGCAGAAGCAGAATGTATTCCTAAGGGCTTCCTCCCCAGGGCCAAGGCCTAGGCATGAGTGTGGGGAGTGGGCTGTGGGGTTTGAGAGAGGGGAGGCCTTATTTCCCTCCTGCTGCTCCCCGCCCCCTCCCCCACTCCCATCCCTCCGCTGAGTGTTTTCTGTGAAGGGCTATCCAGAGTTACGATGCCTTTGCCCAGGTACTTCCTGAGACCCAGAAAGTAGGCTGGGAGGGCCCAAATGTGAGGGTGACCTAAGCAGAAAGTCTCCAGAGAGGTCACATCACCTGGCCCCGCCTTGGCAGAGGTCCCCAATGACTTATGCTAGGAGAATTCCATCTGGGAAAACAGCCTGGCCACAAAATCAGCTACTGGACCTCAGCCGCCTCTGCGGGAGGCTCTGAGGAGGAATGAGCATCCCTTACTGAGGGGGCTCTGTGAGGAAACATGCCTCCCTCATTCCCCTGGAGTCCTAGGTCTGGACCTCCAGAGCTGGGAGAGGGGAGGGAGATGGACAGGGCGTTTCCTTTGATCTGGGGGGTTTAGTCTCAGTCCTGCCTGAACTTTCCACCAGGCTTGGAGCCCTTCTCTCTGAGAACCACATTCCTCTCCTTCCCACCAATTTTCCCTTAGAGAGGCTTCAGCAGTTTGCTCCCCAACCCACCCCAGCCCATTTCACAACTCTGATCTTTGGTACAAAGTGGGGGACATGCCCTCCCCACCTCTTTTTTTCTCTCCCACCTCAGCCTCCCTTCCAGTTCCCTGCCTGCCCGTACATTTCCTACAGAGGCTACTGCCTCCCCTCCTGGCTGGGAGGGTGTCTGTGGGTGACGTTTCAGGGACCCTGGCACCCAGGGCCTGTGCTGGCTCTGTTTTCCCCACTTCCCTTCCCCCTCTCTTTGGAGCCAGCTGGCTGCAGGGCGTGCCTCAGAAGCAGTGGGCTGCAGGATCACAGCTGCAGGCTGCAAAAGACCCTCGGAGGGAGCATGGAGTGAGGGGTTCTCTCTCAGGTGTGTATGTTTGGGGGGGTGGGGGTGGAGGGTGTCAGGGAAGTTGGGGAGGGGATCCCAGCCTTCCCTTCAAGAGGCAGGTAGCTCTGGGAGGTGGAGTCCCCACCGCTTCCTCTACTAGGCTCCTCCTGTTCCCCAGGCTTGGGGATCTTTGCACAAGGACACCCCCCCCAGCCTAGTGGCACCTACCTCATGGGCACTGGGGCAGGTAGGGGAAGGGCTGGTCCAGTTCTGGCAATGTTGGGGGGGCATACCAAAGAATCCAGGGACAGGAAGTGGGGAGGGCAACTTCCAAGTTGGCCCCTCCCCCTTCTTCTACCCAGACTGGGGCTGGGATCCTCTCCTCCCACTGTAACCATTTCTACCTCATTTTGCTGCGTGTTGTACATGGACATATTTATCTCCTGTCTGACGATGCTCTGCAGTTGTGGTCTGTCTACCTCAGAAGAGACTGTATTTTAAAAAAAGTATTACACAGTATTAAAGCGATGACATGTGGTTTGCAGAAGATTTCTTGGGGGTAGTGGGATGTGGGAGCCCTCTGGGAGATGTTCGGGCACCCAGCTCTGCTGATGTCCTGGGTGGGATGTTCCTACTGTCCTCAGGAACAAGGAACAAGGACTCTTGTGACTCACTGTAACACAGTGAGTGCCTACAGGAACGGGCACTGAGGGTGGGGTGGGGGAGAGAAGCCCTGGGTAAGGGACCCTCCTGCCTTTCTGAACTCTGACACTCAGCACTGGGGCAGACCTATCATATCCCCACAAAATAGCCGGGCAAGGAAGTGCTCACATGTTTGTTGAACGAGTGAAGAAATGAATGCATGGAGGAAGTGTGGGTTGCTGAAGAGGCGGGGGCATCCAGAACCTGCAGAAGCCCTTATTGAATAGAGCTAGGGTTATACTTGTATTCCATTCTCAGTCGAGATAAAGTGGGCAGAGGGCAGGGTGTGGAGACAGTTCCAGTATTTCAGGTCACGTGGTGTCCTTTGTCTACCATCGCCCCATCCATCAGTCCCCTAACTCTATCTGTGACAGCTCATTATAACCTGGGAGACTGAACAATCTAGGAAGGAACACTTGCTGAAAAAGCTCTGTAGAGATGCCCATGAGAGATGTGGACCCGCAACTGCTAGGTCCTTGAATACTCTAGGCAAGTTTGTTGAGCATGCCCAAGAGCACCAGGGGAGCAGTGCACCCAGGCTCCCTGCTATGGCTCACTGCACACTAACAGGAGGCAGGGTGAGCACCGGCGAGACCCTGCAAAGCAAAAAGGACACAAATGTGAGTGTGCCTGGAGGTGGGGGCTCTTAGGCACTGCCCCAGAGTCCAGTGACCACAAGCCCCTCTGCTCTTGGAGGTCCGAACCCACCTGCCCCCACTCCTCTCCTCTGTTTTGCACCTTACTATATGCAGACATCGGGCGTGGCACTGAGAATACAGAAGGGGTCAAGCACCGCTGCTGTTTCTGGAGAGTCCATGGTCTAGATGGGAAAAGCTCAAAAATGATCATTTAAAAATACAACTGGGCCGGGTGTGCTGGCTCATACCTGTAATCCCAACACTTTGGGAGCCTGAGGTAGGTAGATCACCTGTGGTTGGGAGTTCAAGACCAGCCTGACCAACATGGAGAAACCCCATCTCTACTAAAAATACAAAAATTAGCCGGGTGTGGTGGTGCATGTCTGTAATCCGAGCTACTCGGGGCTGAGGCAGGAGAATCACTTGAACCTGGGAGGTGGAGGTTGTGGTGAGCTGAGATCATGCCACTGCACTCCAGCCTGGGTAACGAGTGAAATTCTCTCAATAAATAAATAACTGGATAAAGCTACTGGGGGTGGAGGGCCACATCAAGTTAGTCTTTGTATTCACACACCTAGTGCAATTGTACACAGAAGACACTGAATAAATGTTTGTTGAATAAATCCTCTAATTTCCAGATAAGTGCCCTGGTGGAGAATGCACAGGTTATGTCAAGAATGCCCAGAAATGGCTGGGGACGTGGTGGCTCACATCTGTAATCCCAGCACTTTGGGAGGCCAAGGATGATGAATCATTGAGGTCAGAAGTTCAAGACCAGCCTGGCCAATATGGTGAAATCCTGTCTCTACTAAAAATACAAAATTAGCTGGGCCTGGTGGTGCACGCCTGTAGTCCCAGCTACTCAGAAGATTGAAGCACGAGAATCACTTGAACCTGGGAGGCAGAGGTTGCAGTGAGCCAAGATCATGTCGATGCATTCCAGCTTGGGTAATAGAGGGAGACTGATTCAAAAAAAAAAAAAAAAAAGGAATGCCCAGAAAAGATTCCGACTTTGTGGTGGTGGTCTTGGTGGGGTGTCAGGAAAACTTCCTACACAGGAAGAGCGGGGGACAGCTGAGCAGAATATGGAGGCTGGAAACTGCATCATATGTGCTGTGCCATAAGCTGTGTGTTACAAGATAGTGAGGGCAGGAGTCAGAGGAGTGAGGCTGGAGGAATCAGTGGGGACCTCACCATGGAGGGCCTTCCATGCCCTGTTAGGAGCTGGAGCTCCATAATGAAGCCTTTGTGGGAGTTTAGACTGAGGACAGGACTGATTTGTAAGTTAAGAATTCACTTTACCAGCAGTGTGAAAACAGACTAAAAAAAAAAAAAATTCACACAATGGCCCTGCATGGTGGCTTATGCCTGTAATCCTCACACTTTGGGAGGCTAAGGCAGGAGGATCTCTTGAGCCCAGGAGTTTGAGACCAGCCTGGGCAACATAGGGAGACCCTATCTCTTAAACAGAAATTCACACATTGACTCAACAAATCTTTACTGAACACTTATGCTCTAGTTGCCATGGGGGCAGTGTATGGACCTTGCAGTCTAGTGGGGGAAGACAGTAAAAAGGCTGAGCTGCGGTGTGCTGTGGGGCAGATAGGAGGAACCCCTAATGGGGATACCACTAAGGGGTGGGACTCAGAGTCAGGGAGGGCTTCCCAAAGGCTCCCGACAGCAGGAGGAGTGCAGACCACGATCAGAAGGAGAATCAGAGTCAAGCTTCCTTGGGGGAAATGGAATAAGTGCAGGTAGGCCGGGCCCCAGTGAGTGGGGGACAGGGGTAGGGGCTGGAAGACCAGACAAGAGAGGAGGGTTTGGACTCACACCAGAGTGGGGGAATGGGATGATGGATTCATTTGATGAATACTAAACTTTAGTAGTTGGTAGACAAGGGGAGAATTTAGAAATTGAGGCCAGGCCAGTGGCTCATGCCTTTAATCCTAGCACTTTGGGAGGTGATGGCGGAGGAGGCGGCCAGAGTTGGAAACCAGCCTGGGCAACATAGCAAGACCTCCATCTGCACAAAAAAGAAAAAAAGGATGTAGGAATTGATTGAATATCGAGGTTAATGGAGAGCAAGGGGTCTAGGGCTTCTGGTAAAGAGGGGAGGGGTTGGGCAGTACATGAATTAGAAGAATGTTGGTAATTTGTTCAGTTTGAGGTATTAGTGGGTATTAGGAGGCGTAGGGCGGGAGCTCCAGTGTAAAGGCTTAGACTCCTAGCCTCCTGGAGGGCTGAGAACCCCCTTCCGGGGTGTTGCAATCCCTCTAACTCCAGTTCCTGAGTTTCGTGAGACCCTCCAACAAGTGGTATATTGGAGCCCCGCGTCTCCATTGCTGGGTGTTGCCAGCCCTCTCGTCCCCAGTTCCCTCCTCCACTTGGATTCCCGAGTGTTCGGAGCCTTCTCCCTCCCACAATCCGCGGGCGTTCGGAACCCCTCCCCCACCGCGGGCGCTCGGAGCCCGTTCCTGTCCCCGCACAGTTCTCGGTCCCTGGTTCCCACCAGCGATGGCGGCGCGGACTCCGGCGGGCGCCTTGGTCCTGGCGCTCTGGGTTTGGGCGCTGGCTCCGGCGGGGGCCCCGGACGCCATGGGCCCTCACGCGGCGGTCCGTCTGGCCGAGCTGCTGACCCCGGAGGAGTGCGGCCATTTCCGGTCGCTCCTGGAGGCGCCCGAGCCCGACGTGGAGGCCGAGCTGTCCCGGCTTTCTGAGGACCGGCTGGCGCGGCCCGAGCCGCTCAACACCACGTCGGGGTCTCTGAGCCGGCGGCGGCGGCGAGAGGCAGCCGAGGACCGGGCGGGCGGGGCGGCAGGGCCCGGGGAGGTCTCCGACGGCTGCCGGGAGGCGCTGGCGGCCTGGCTGGCCCCCCGGGCCGCGTCCCTGTCCTGGGACCGCCTGGCTCGGGCCCTGCGGCGCAGCGGCCGCCCCGACGTGGCCAGGGAGCTGGGCAAGAACCTCCACCAGCAGGCGACGCTGCAGCTGCGCAAATTCGGGCAGCGCTTCCTGCCCCCGCCCGGCGCCGCCGCCCCACCGCCCGATCCTTTGGCCTCGCGCCCCCGGCGCGCCGCGTTCCCAGCGTTGGACTGGGACGCGCTGGAGCTGATCGTGGAGCGCCTGCCTCAGCCCCGGTACGAGCGGAGCCCCACGGGTTGGGCGGGGCCGCTGGCGCTTGGCCTCCTCACCGGCTTCTTGGGGGCGCTGAGCACCGGGGCGCTGCTCGTCCTGCTCACGCTGTGGATCACCGGCGGCGACGGCGACCAGGCGTGGCCCGCCAGCCCCGGCCCGCCCGCCACGGTTCAGGGCTGGTGGGAAACAAAGCCGCTCCTTCCTAAATAGCGGCGCGCGCCCCCGGGGGCCTGGCTGCAGATGGGCCAGATCGTCGCTCACCTCAGTGCCCTTGCCCTCGGCTGTAAAATGGAAGCAAAGTCCGGCAGGAGTGGTGCTTTGGACGGTTTATAAACGTTATGAAGTACTGAAAGGACAGAGCAGTTTTTTAATCCGTTGGAAAGGAGCGGCATCGCCCGTGGGACCGGTGGAAGAGGGGCTCCGGTGCCAGTCTCCCAGAGTGGCAGGCACACCGCCCAATTTTTGTCAGCTTAGTTCCTTTTTATTTATTTATTATTTTTTTTGAGACGGACTCTCGCTCTGTTGCCCAGGCTGGAGGGCAATGGTGCGATCTCTGCTCACTGCAACTTCTGCCTCCCAGGTTCAAGGATTCAAGCGATTCTCCTGCCTCAGCCTCCCTAGTAGCTGGGCCTACAGGCACGCGCCACCACAACCCCCTAATTTTTGTGTTTTTAGTAGAGATGGGGTTTCGCCTTGCTGGCCAAGCTGGTCTCCAACTCCTGGGCTCAAGTGATCCGCCTGCCTGGGCCTCCCAGAGTGCTGGGATTCCAGGCGTGGGCCACCGCGCCGGGCAGATTCCTTCTGATCTTACAATTATTCTTCCACGAAGAGCTACCACTTACTAAGCACGGCGTGCCAGGCCTCATGCTAAGCAGTTACATACATTATTTGATGTACTCTTCAAAACCCAAGAAGGAAGGTATTATCTCCATCACATATGTGTAAACTCTGCCACAGCTAATTAGTGGCATAGTCATGTTCTCGAACCTATGGCCACCTGACCTGAAAGTTTGAGCTCAGAAGGAAAAGTGTGTGCGCGATAAGGGGGCTTGAAAAACATGATGGGGACCAG